GACCTCCAAAAGTCGAAGTTATTGTGAAAACTAGGTATATGGAAGACAAAACGATATTCATGTCACGTGACCAATTTAATTTAACGTCAATTATATTGTTCTTGTATTTGTACGATTTGCTAAATAGCCAAATGTTTACACAGCTCTTTAGAGTTACGAAAAACCAAGATGTCCACGAATATTGACGGAAATGCCCGACATTTCCACCGGAAATTGGTGTATTATTGTATTAAATGTCAGGTTATTCAAGAAAACTGTGTACATAGGAATCACTGTGCAAATTTATTTAATGTACATAAATAGTATTTGTCCATATTGTGTAAGATAACTTTTATAGCACAGTGTCGTTTTGATATCAATTTGACAAACACTGCATTAAAGCACTTGACATCGAAAAGTATTATGACCCAATGAGCCTAGAAATCATTTTATCAAAATATATCAGTAGCTACATTAATGATTATACTTAACAGATAGTGCACATTATTGTCACGTGCTTGATCGATCCTCAGGTTCTGTCAAGAACGATCAAAGAATAGGTCATACTACAGTCTTGATATTTGTTTGTAACGTGTTATATACATAGTAAATAAGTTTATTGTTATCGTCACATAGACTATGATGTTTGTTGCTATCATTCTTTGATACAAATCTTTTAAAAACTATAATGACTGGTGTATATTTTTGTAGAGCCCATGGTTAATATTTCATGAATTTAATGATGAAGTATATTAACGTTAAATGTCTTTCCTAGAAGTGAGACATACCATCGTGTGAAATGCTTGTTTCGTTAAAATTTCTAAGCACTTTTCTTTTTCACATTTCACAGAAACATTCAATCCCTATAAACAGGGAACCCAATGGGGAATTGTATCAGACACATTTACAGATATGCTCACAAGCTTAAGCACCGCATTTCCTTATGGTATCATAATTTTATCATGCACCATTCGAGATATTAATAACCCATAAGGTATAAAACTTGTAATATGTTCTGATGTTGAGCTCTGGGAGCAGTTATTGATCGGAAGTTGTAGCTTGCTGAAATACATTAAAGGACTTATTTTTACATTTGGCTCTGTATGCTCAATGAAACCATATAATAGTAGATTTCAAAGGAGTTTTTACCGTTATTCACTTATTGATTCGTTTCATCAAATTTTCGCCTTCACAAATTGTAAGACTTTCTCGATCTGTAGACAATACTATCGAACAAAAAAGACATAAGTGAATTGCGTCTTTTTTTATATATAAAATGTAGTAGCATGTTGGTACAAAATTAGTTTCCATGAAATTAGTACTTTTAAACTCTCTTCATTGAGAGGAAACTATCATCCCAATGAAAAAAAAATTTCATTTTACACTAACTGCATGATAGTTTTGAAAGCTTGTGGACGGAATACTGGTGTTATAAATGTCAACCAATTAATTATTTAAAAAAGATCAAACGAAAATCATCGGTAATTGATTTCGACCAGCTGCAGTTAATGAACGATTAAACTTTAAACTTATTGCTTAAACAAATTCAGAAGACCATTAACTGACATATTATAAGAATGAAAGGATCTCTTTAACTTATAGACTACGGCCCTAATATTAACCAAGTTTCAACTTCCCATGAGTATACTCTTTTGTAAAATATTATCTTAAAAATCAGGCTTATCTCAAAATTCAAATAGAAAATATATCTCCAAAAGGTATAAAATTCTTTATTGTTCACACTTTAACAGCTTATCTACGTCCTAAATCATTTCCGCGAAATAATATATTTCTTTAGAGGCTCATTAAACTGACTGATATTTTTAACATAAAATACCAACAGTCTTTTGAGCCAATGTGGGATTATTTTATTGGGATGATAGAAAACAAAACAATGATATAATGATGTTATATAGAGAGTCATTGTTCGAATGTATAAGTACAATCAGATATTAATTTCTAGAAACATATGGTATATGCTTATCGGATCTATTTTTTCTTTTACGTCCTCATTTTGACTCTGGTGTTTTCATTTCAGACAATATTACCTTAGATTAGGATGTTGGACATGTGTAATATTCAGTGTCGTATTGTCCAATACTCTGTAGATACTACCGGTTTTTTTCATGGCAGTATAATTGGGATATAAGGGGCGCGATACACTAATCCTTCCAATTATCATGGTTTTGATAGTTATAATATTCTAAGTATTGACCGTTCTGTAAGTTCAGTTTTTTGTGATTATAGACTGTGCCGTTCCTTGATTTTTTTGTGTGGCTTGGATCATTTTGGTATCTGTAGATGTTTTGTTTAACATTTATTTTTCTTTTCATTACACAGTTTTAGTACTTTTCATTCTTTATTTAACTCTGTATATCAACGTTTCCATTCTTTCCAATTAGATATATATTGCAGCAATGACTTTCCAACTGGATATATTGAAGCAAGGGCTCTCCTATGCTATATATTGTTGTTGTGACTTCTGGCGTGACATATATTACTGTAGCAACTTTCTTTTGAGAAAAATTGCTTTAGAGAGTTTCCACTGATATATATTACCACAGAGAGTTTCCAGTGCCATATATTACTTCAGAATTTTCAATGAGATATTTTACTACAGAGAGTTTCCAATGAGATATTTTACTACAGAGAGTTTCCCATGAGATAGTTTGTCCCTTTTGAGATACATCGCTATAGAAATATCCTTTTGAGGTACATCGAGAGCTCTAATGATATTGAAAAAAAAATATCATATACACTTAATTTTAAATTTAAAAACAAATGTTTTATTTTATGTAAGGGTTTGATAAAGCCTCTGCAATCCTTACTGATATTGATATTATCACGGTTGACTGATACAGAACGAATGCATAAAACATACAATATACTTGCATCGACTACTTATATTTTATCGTTGCGGTCTTTTAACTGACAGAAGGATGTGGTTGAGACTGCAATTCAACAATGTATGTTAACTAAAACACGTAAAGGTTACGGTATACCAAAAACGGATAGAACGCTTTATCTTTTGAGATAAAGATTTGCAAGACTATGGATCATTATAAAAGAAAACTGTTTCATTTTTTCTTGATGAAAATAAACTAGTTTGTTATGTTATTAATAGTTTTCAGAGTATACGTATATACTACCACAGGAATAGATTACCTTAGCTGTGTTCGGCAAAACCTTTCGGAATTTTGGGTGTTCAATGCTCTTCAACTTCGTACTTTATTTGGTCTTTTTAACTTTTTAGATTCGAGCATCACTGATGATTGTTTTTGAAGACAAAACGCGCGTCTTGGTTATAATTTTTTTTTTATCCTGGTATTTATGATGAGTTTATATACTAGTAAATAGATATGATTATTTAATGTACTATATTGATTTTGACTAATTACTTGAGGAGCATCAGAAGATTGTTATAACTAATATGGTCATCCCCTATAAAAATGTTTATTTTTCTATTTTATTTAGAGGCGACCAATGAATTTAACACGGTGTTTTGACATTGACAGAATAGTACTTTACAGGAAGTTACAAGGTGTCTAATTGCATTTTATAAAACAATAAAGCAACAACTAATAAATGTCATGCGTCCGAAGCGCTTCTCTGGATTTACCTTCAGCAGTAACGCCAAAAGCCGAATATTTGAAGCGAACGATGTATATGAACCGAAAACGTTTAAGAGCTATATAATAGATAAGAACATACAAATAACAGCCAAATACATCTACAGTCAACTTTGTCCGAGGGAGTTGAAACCCTAGTTAAAAGTCAGTATCACTATAAGTCTACTCGTTGAGATAACTTTACTTGAAAGGAATCTCGTTCACGAACATGTCACTGCCATCTGACATAGCCTCGTGGATGATAAATAATGACACATTTTTATTAATTATACTGTTATTGTTGAGAAATGAGAAGTAATGTAAATGATTTAACACCTTTTGGATAATTCACGATGAAATAGATCATCACTAAGGATGACCGCGAAATGATTGCATGCAGTGAACTAAGAAGAGCATGTTCTAGATAAGATATCGTTCACAATTCTTTAAAATATATTGTATTGCAATAATTCATGTATCTTATTAACTAATTTTTTTCAAAATATTATTCTAAGTAAATCATTGAAATTCATCATGTGTCATCCTGCATATTTTCCTAAAAATATTCCGCTTAACACTTTTTTTTTTATTACTATCTAAACTTTTTGGGCAAAACTCAGCAGTGATATGTTTGTTTTGGGTAATTGAAGTTGTTGGTTTGCTGTAGTTGTCCCATTATATCTTATTCGTTCCGTTGTTTGATATAGTGAAGCGTTTGATTTTGTCAGGTTTTTATGGACCTATCCCTTTCTGGTATTCGGTATTTTGGTAAATACTTTTTTTTTTATATATACATCTACTGGAATTTTATTTGCTTTAAATCTTTCAATAAAAGATATTAATAATGTCCAATGAAAATAAAGAGAATGTTCAATTGATTAATTAAGTGCACAGTGCTGGCAAATATTGTATGTTAAAAATATGAATGAGGTTTACGATTTAATTAATCAAATGAACATTCGTTTCCCTCTCTATTTGTCGGTTCGTATGCCCCCTCCCTTGTTGGTCCTTGTTTGCCAATAAACTATGTTGTTGTTGCTGTTGTATGAATGTTTATGATATTGTAAAGTACATGTTTTTTTTAAAACATCTTTGTCTTAAGAAATCAATCAAACCTATCTTTATCATTTCATAACCTATCATACAAAAAGCAATTTCTTTTTTGTTTTGCGCTAAAAATAATTCCTTGGAAGATGTTCTTATTTTACCGAACGTTCAGTTAAAAGTTATATTTTAAAACGTATTTTCTTGCATAAGGTAAAGAATATCCGGTTACATCTCATTTTAGAATTATGTTGTAAGGTGTTAAGTCAATGGAATAACACTAAAACATTTTTCTACAAAATAGGAATACAAGTTATATGTTTTTTTCAAAGGGCATTTTGTTTTTAAATGCATAAAGCTAATACTTACGGTTCGAATTATGCCAAAGTTCTACTCCTCTTCTGTTTCTGTAAAGTTAATGCCAATAATATAAAAGTTAATTGTATGTACTCCCTTTTTGATCTTTTCGTGTAACGGTAAACTACTGAAGTTTACTTTTATATGGAATTGCCAATAACAGGGCGTGACTATTGACGCAGACCGCCTTACGCTTCCCACAATACATACGTCGACTTATCGCTCTAGTCTTATAAAAGAAATTTATAATTAGTTTCTGGATGTCTCTATTAGCTTTTAACATTGAATATTTTTTTTCAAGCATCATATGTCTCCTTGAGAAAAAGCTTTTAACGATTTAAGCGTAGGTGAGCTAGATATATATTTCAGATCTATTGAAACAATGATTTCTCAAGAGAAAACTTTCAACTTGCGAATCAAATGTAAAGTTAATAATTCATTTTAAACGACAATTTCTTGAAAGCGTTATTAGATCTATAATTGAAACGCAAACACTTTTTAAGTAAAAAAAAATGGTGAGGAAAATGTTGACGAATTTTGATCAATTATCAGGGTAAAAAGTTGAGGTGATAATTGCTATATTTTTGCTGGTCATTTTAATTGAGTTAAACGTGTTGCATCGAAAGAGAAATGTAATATCTATTTTAATTCTATGAATATATGATATATTATTAAGTGATATTTGTGGCTAATTCAATTTTAAGTTTGCGTCGTTCGAGGATTAGATAGATTTGCACATTGTTGAAGTATGAAAACTAAAGGATGGGGTATGGTAAGGCCATATTTTGGCGCTTCAAAAATAACAAAGTACACAAATGAATTATAAATTATTCAACCACATCCTTTTGGGTTTTTTCAAGATACTGATTTGTCAAAGATCAGCAATGATAAGTTTGAATTTGTCTTGAGTATTCGCTCAAGGTCTTCAAACATTTTGATTTTTAAATAAACTCTAAACTGACAGAATAGATCTTCCCATTAATATTTAGTAAAACATGTCAAATATGACTACTATGATGAAGCCATGAAAAGAGAGAGACGATATTAAGGATGAAATAGAAAAATCATAAGTCCGATAAAAACTGACGACACCATGACAAAAACAATAACAAAATATTATTTGAAAATGCCTGTACCAAGTCAGGAATATGACAGTTGTTGTCCATTCGTTTGATGTGTTTTGTCATTTGATTTTGCCATGTGATTAGGGACTTTCCGATTGAATTTTCCTCGGAGTTCAGTATTTTTGTGATTTTACTTTTTACATGGAAAACTAAAGATTGAGCAACACGAACCACATAAATAAAACCGGGGGTGAAATCAGGTCCTCAGTCACATTACAAATAATACTTCCATCATTTGATAAACAAAATCAAAATAGTTTTAAAAGTATTGAATAATTCAATATTTTTTTTTTACAATTTTAGAGAGAAAATGGACTTGTATCATGCATCCTTCTTCAAGGATAATATGTTAAATCTCAATCGTATGTTGAGTATAATGGATATTGACCAAACAATAAAAACACATTTTTTTAAATGTTTTTTTTGTTTGTAAAATTTCGAATCGCAGAATCTTCAAACCAACATTAACTTATTTGTATTAATATAGATAAACAGTTGTTTTACTTACAATACTTCTTTTAAATTAAGTTAAGAATATGGTTCTTGTTCAATTTTTTTATTAAATATTTGGAGGATTGCACCTTCATCGGCCTAGTTAACTTTCACAAAAAAGTTTCTTTTTGTACAGATGCCAATAAGACGTAGATATCTTAAGCAAACGTATGAACTAAACAAAAAAGGCAATTAAAAAAGTCATCCCGAAAAGCGTTTTCTTTAATTAAAAATGTGCATAGAGAGAATTTTAAGACATTAAAATATCTCAACAGAAACTGTATTTTGGTAGTAGTTATACTGACACAATAATATTTCGTGTTTAGAGGTTGTGCTGTTGACTAATTCTGCCAAAAACTTGTGTAAATTCATCTTTAACTTTTTGATGTCTGAACTGATCATCTGAACAATAAGATACAGCGCAAAAATTTCAATCCTAGATTGTCATTAAAATCAAATATTGATTCAAAGTAGGGTTTTGATTTTCAACAACATATTGGTGCCCTGCTTGCCATTAACTATATTTCAAAATTGTAGTTGAAGCCATCTAAAAGCATTTATGATATAGTTTACGTGCTCAGATATACGATAAATTGATTTTTTTCAACCTCAAATAACATACACTAAGCTGGAATCAGTAAAATTTAGTAAAAATTGTTTTTTCAAAATTGTATTACTGTGAAAGATATTTAGGAGATATTGCCCATATCTCTTTCCAGTGGTCAGTGGTTCTATCCGGGCACTCCAGCTTCTTCCAACAACAACAACAACAAAAAACTGACCACTACGAGATAGCAAATATTGCTGAAAGTGGCGTTAAACACTAGTCAATCAATCAATCATTGTGGCAGTAGATAAAACTAATCAAATTCTTTCGAAATCAGTGAGACCAGCTATTTAACATTTTCCGTCCTTTATGAGTTGTGGACACTGCAAAACCTATTACAATATATAATATGAAGATCCACTAAAGAAACACTGCCTAATTAAGCTTTATATACAATTATACAATAGTACAATTTATTGTGCCCTGTCAGCGAAATTAGAATACAGTATGTTGGTCATTCTGTATATGGATGCAATCAATCTTGTATCAAATTTTCCTGCCCCTAAGAATAGACATACATGATAATTGTAATATTAACATAGCGCAATAGAAAGTATTAAATGTACACACTGTAGATTTCTAATTGACGAAAATATAAATGTCACGATTTGAGCTTCATAGATTCAATGTTAAAATGTTACATCAAGCTTGTAAGTCTAAATGCTAAAAATATGCATGATCGTCTGAATCTAATGGACATCTTTCGGTTAATTGACTAACTAGAATTAAAAACCATAAATAATGCAAAAATTACACACTCGAAATTTGAAATTCAAACTCGAATGTTACTGCTTCTGAAACCATTGCAATGTCTTGTCAGCTTCAATTTGGAGATTCTCAAATCGGTATATCTATGAATGTATATATACATGTCCAATGATCTACTATGAGTTATGCCTTGAATTTTCATAGGTGGTGATTATGTGTAATATGTAGAAGCGCATCAATATTTTATATTCCTTAAGGTTATGGATGAAACAACGTGGAAATAATCATTAAGGGAAATGTATATATAAGGAATCTTCGATTTTTAAACTATTATCAAATCAATAATCTATACCCCTATTAAATACTGTTCTATGCTACTGACCGTTATGCAATTTACCGTCAACTATGATTATGTAGGAAAATGCATTTTGGAAAATAAGCAAAAAAAAGTTTAACAGAACAATTTTGTGATAAGTTGTAGGTTTGAGACAAAGTGACAAAACATTTTTGAAAAACACAATTGATTGTAAATTGCATATTGTTTATTTTATAATTAATTCAAATGAAAGCAAGTGACCATCACATGTGTAGCAAGAAGAGTTCGCTTGCTTTCATTTCGTATAAATTATAAAAAAAAAACCAACAGCAGTCAGCTCTTATACTTACAGATTTTCGAAATAAAAAATATATTTGTTATTATTATTTTGAATCTTAAAGTAAACCTTCAAACACCAAATTTCGACAAAAATTGTCTAGTAAGATGAAAACAGTATCATTCCACGTGAACATGATACGTCATTAAGCTGAAATTTGCAAAATCGAAAATTCGATTTCAAAGCGGAAAGCTTGTAAAGTATATTTCTATCAATTATTCATATTAAGAATATATTTAATGTCAATTACTTATTCAAATTAATTAAATTGCGATGTTTTATGACATAATTTTTTGAATGAAGTACTCGAAAAATGTGAAAACATAGTGTTGATTTATTAGATGGATGGTCCATGTTAATGATTTTATCATAAATCTTGAGACGTTTTCATACACATATGTTGCTTTTATACATACAGTTTTTTTTCTATAAATTGAAAACACATGATGGAATTAAACGATGATCAGTATTTGTATGAATTGAATAATTTAAAAGTAGCCAAAGTACTTTACGAGTTTATACCAGCTGTTCTGAAACCGCTTCAGAAGAAAACCAATATTTTTGCCAGGAAGTCTCTGATCTTGGTCAAACTCATACCGCGTAACATTGAAAAATGAATACCGGCCAATCAGGAACGGACCATATCGGGTACCATTGAACTAAAAGAAAGAAATTAATAAGGTTATTGAATAAATATATGAGGCTTAAGTAATTGAAAAGTCAAAGTTCCCTTACTTGTTCATTTCATTTAGTAATAGTTTACAATAATGATGGTCCACAATAAATCTGTGTAGACACCATAAGCCTCAACAAAGTAGTCCAACCCATTTATTCCTGTACCTTTGACCAATGCGATTCCTACCCTCTTAGGAGAGTTTTATTGCTTTACTGCTTTAGATTTAAATAGTGGTTACTGGCAGGTCAAGTTAGAAGACGATAGTAAAGAAAAGACTGCCATTATCTGTCACAATGGACTCTTTCAATCAAAGGGACTTCCTTTGGGTTTAAGTAGACCCATGCATTCTTTCAGGATCTAATGAATATAGTTTTACATAGACGCAAAGCCTTTGCAAAAGTTACTTGTACGATATTTTTGCTATCTCTAAGAACCCCAATAGCACCTTTCAGATTTAAAGAAATTGAAGCAATTAAGAAATTTCCATCACCGAAAACTACAACAAATATTTAAGGTTTCATTTGCATGTATTCTTACTTACGAAGATTCATACCCAGTTTCTCAAAATAGTGGAGCAACTTATCAATCTTACTAGCTTACTAGGAAGTACCGTATAGAGGGTTATTTTCGCAGGTGTAAAATTTTCATAGAATAAGGTATTCAAAATAGTATGGCGGTTATTATTTTTGCGGATTCAAAACTTTATATATACAATACCATTGAATGTGCACATTTAAATTGGCGGAATTTATTTTGGCGATTTTGTTCTATCCGCGAATATAAGCGAAAATAACCCACTATACGATATGCTAGTTTTAAGTAGATAGTTCGATGTCAGAAGCCTTTTGATTTATTAAAGAATAATCTTACTGTTGTACCACTACTTACTTACCTAGACACGAACCCACGTCATG